CCGGCAGGGTGCATATGGGAGGCAATCAATCAACGTTTCTCTCTCTCTCTCCCTTCCTCTCTCTCAAATCAATAAACATATCCTTGGGTTAAGAATAAAATTTTTTTTAAATTTTATTTTTCAATTATAGTTCACATTCAATATAATTTTGTATTACTTTCAGGTGTGCAGCGTAGCAGATAGACAATCATATACTTCACAAAGTGTTCCCCCCGATGTTTCAAGTACCCGCCTGGCATCACATGTACTTATTACAGTGCTAGTGACTGCGTTCCCTGAGCTGTGCTTTACATCCCAGGACTATTGTGCAACTACCAATCTGTATTTCTTAATCCCCTCGCCTTTTTCACCCAGTCCCCCAACCCCCTCCCTCTGGCAACCAGGAGTCTGTTCTCTGCATCTATGAGTCTGTTTCAATTTTGGTTGTTATTTATTTTCTTTTTGGATCCCACAGATATGTGAAATCATATGGTACTGTCTTTCTCTGACTGGCTTCTTTCACTTAGCAGCTACCCATTAGGTCCAACCACGCAGTCTTGGCATGGAGGCCTTTGCAGTAGGCCTTGGGGCGCAGTGGCACCGTCTCCCAGGTCGCCTGAGCTGGGTGTCCCAAGAAAGCCCTGGGTGGGCTCTGTGGACCCTCCTGTGTAGTTGTCTTGATTGCGGCTGGCCATCCGTGGGCAGGGCTGACCCTCAGGCTGGCTGACTCTGAGGATCGGCCCCTCACAGTGCATGAGCCGCTGTGTGGGGCTGAGCGGTGAAGTGCATCCCCGGGCCGCTGAGATTTCCCTCCGGGTGTGCCCCGTGCGGAGCGAGTTGGGGGGGCATGGGCTGGTGATCTGATGTGGTTTGAAGCCCACCACTGGTGGGGTGTTGGTTCTGGGCCTCTTGAGAGGGACTCCAGTGCAGGGCAATGGCAGAGGCTGCCTGTGACCAGCCCTGGGATACCTGTTTGCAGCCACAAAATGACCCACAGTTTATGGTGGGCGGGGACTCAGGGAGCCTGCGGGTGAGGCCAACAGAGCTCCTCGGGCTGCCACCAACGAAGATTTGGAAGATTTGACCGCGTGGAGGGAGGGCTCTGCACAAGAACAGGGGTGCCAGGTGGGCGCATGAGAGGAAAACGGCCCTCACCCCAGAGCCACACCCCAAATCTGCCCGGACCCCTCAAGAGCCTCTGAGAAAGTCTGCACCATGGACCCAGGCTGGGCCTGTGCAGACTCCTCCCCAGGGGCGAGCTCACAGGGCAGGGCCACGGGGGTCGGAGGGTGGGGCCAGTGCCTTCCCGCAGGCGGCTGCCCTGTGGGGGGAGTGCTGACCGGAAAGATGGTGTCTGCAGGCGTGTGGGAGAGGGACGCAGCACAGGCCCTGGTGGCGGTGCCCCCTCCCCCACAGCCGCACCACTCAGCCTGTCCCAGTGGGATGCCGTCCGCTCCCCGCCACCTTTCCTTGGCCAGAGCCCAGGGGAAGTGGCCAAAAGGGACATTTTGTGCACTGGCCCTTTAAGAGGGCACTGGCGGATGGAGCTCGCTGATGTTCACAGCCAGATGTCCGCTGGGCCCGTTCTGGCCCTGGTGCTCCGGGCTGCAGAGCCCAGTGTGGGGTGGAAACCTCACTCCTCAAGGGAACCTTTGCAGCTCAGATGTCCCTCCAGGTTCCCAGCTGCCGCACGTGGGCGTCGGGTGGGCCTGTCCACCTCCCCCACTTCCTACCAGCCTCCATGGCGTCTTTGTAAATGCTGGGTTATGAGCGCCACCGGCCAGTCCCCAGTGCTTACCAGGGGTCCTCAAACTTTTTAAACGTGGCCGGTTCACTGTCCCTCAGACCGTTGGAGGACCGGACTATAGTTTAAAAAAAAAACTATGAACAAATTCCTATGCACACTGCACATATCTTATTTTGAAGTAAAAAAACAAAACGGGAACAAATACGATATTTGTATTTGCATGTGGCCCGCGGGCCGTAGTTTGAAGACCCCTGGTTAGTCCTTTGTTCTATGACTTATTTGTAGCCCTGGTTGGTCCTGGGAGGGGTGAGTGTAGCTTCTCGCTAGTCCACCGGCGGCTCCCCTCTCCCTTTCTCTCATTCAGTGGCATTTTCTGGCACAGAGGTACTTAGCTTGGGCAGGGCCTTCAAGGGGCCCAGAGAGCTTTACAGACGGTGCCCAACCCCAGAATCTCACTTAACGGCCTGCAGCAGGGCCTCAGGCTCTAATTTTTAAAGCGCCACCCGATGGTCTGATGGGACGACGTGATGGCGAGACTGAGAACCAGGCTCTAGCAGCTCCCTGATGAGATGGGGCCGGGAGCAAAGGGTTTGGAAACCTGGCGCGTTGAAAATGCCCGCCTGCACGAGTGGGTAGCTCCCTGGGTTGAGCATCGTCCTCGCACAGAAATGTTGCAGTTGATTCCGGGTCAGGGCGCATACCTGGGTTGCAGATTTGATCCCCGGGGTGGGAGGCAACCATCAACGTCCATACACCCCCAAGCGTGTCTTCAGGTGAGTATTAAAAGAAAGAAAGTCTTTATTCTGCCTCCTTACCAACAGTCAGGCTGGATATTGGATTCTAAACTGGAGATAATGATCCTTCAGTATTTTGAAGGCAGTTAGTTCTCCACTCTGCTCATTTCCAGGATTGCTGCTGAGAGGGTAGAGGCCATTCTAACTACCGGGGTGTGTGTGTGTGTGTGTGTGTGTGTGTGTGTGTGTGTGTCTTGGTTTCATCTCTGGAAAAGTGTTCTAAAATATCATGATGATGTGCTTTGCTTTGATGTGAGTTTGTTTTTATTGTATTGTGGGTTGGTGGGGCTTTTTAAATCTGAAGATTCAAGTCCTTCACTTCTGAAATATATATATACTAGAGGCCCGGTGCACAAAAATTTGTGCACTGGGAGGGGGGAGGGGCGGGATCCCTCAACCCAGCCAGTGCCCTCTCACAGTCTGGGACCCCTCGGGGGATAACCACCTGCTGGCTTAGGCCCGCTCCCCAGGGGATTGGGCCTAAGCTGGCAGTCAGACATCCCTCTGGCAGCCCGGCAGCCCTTGGGGGATGTCCACTTGCCAGCGGGGAGCAGGCCTAAGCTGCAGTTGGACATCCTTAGCGCTGCTGAGGCAGTGGGAGAGGCTCCCACCACCACCGCTGTGCTGGCAGCCATCAGCCTGGCTTCTGGCTGAGCAGAGCTCCGCTGTGGGAGCACACTGACCACCAGGGGGAAGCTCCTGCATTGAGCGTCTGCCCCCTGGTGGTCAGTGTGTGTCATAGTGACCAGTCATTCCCAGTCTTTCTGCTGTTAGGGTCAGTTTGCATATTACCCTTTTATTATATAGGATAGAGGCCTGGTGCATGGGTGGGGGCCGGCTGGTTTGCCCTGAAGGGTGTCCTGGATCAGGGTGGGGGTCCCGCTGGGGTGCCTGGGTGAGGGGCTGGTGGCTGTTTGCAGGCTGGTCACACCCCCTTCAGGGTGGGGGTCCCCACTGGGGTGCCTGACCAGCCTGGATGAGGGGCTGATGGCTGCATACAGCTGGTCACACCCCCTTCAGGGTGGGGGTTCCCACTGGGGTGCCTGGCCAGCCTGGGTGAGGGGCTGAGGGCCATTTTCAGGCTGGCCAAGCCCCCTGGAGACGGAAGCTCCCAGCCTCTCCTTTTTATCTTTTTCTTTTTTAATTCTGGGATTTATTTACCTTCTATAATTGAAACTTTGTTGCCTTCAGTGGAGCTCAGAGCCAGCCATGGCAGGCAGGAAGCTTGGCTTCCTCCATCACTGGAGCAACCAAGCCTCCTGCTCGCTCCAGCTCCATGGCTGCCGGCTGCCATTTTGGTTGGGTTAATTTGCATATAGTCGCTCTGATTGGCGTGGCTTAAGGTGTACTGAAGGTACAGTCAATTTGCATATTTGTCTTTTATTAGATTAGATTTCAGGTTGGATGTTGGATTTCCAAATACTGCTCCTCTTTATTTATTTTTTTAAATCTTTTTCTTCTACTTTTCATCTCTCTCTTTGCTCTTCTTTTAGGGAAATTTCTTTAACTTTATCCTCCAACACACACACACACACACACACACACACACACACATTTTATTCTGAGGATATGTTTTTATTTATTTTTAGAGAGAGAGGGAAACATTGGTTGCCTCCCATACTTGCCCCAACCAGGGATCGAACCCTTAACCTAGGTATGTGCCCCGACAGGGAATCATGCCTACAACCTTTTTTGGTGTACAGGACAATGCTCAAATCAGCTGAGCTACCTGGCCATGGCTACTCTCTAGCATTTTTATTACATTTTTTCTGCATTTCTACTGTTATGTTTAATTCCCGAGTGTTCTTTGTTGTTATTGTTTTTGTAAATCCTCACCTGAGGATATTTTTTCCATTGCTTTTTAGAGAGAGTGGAAGGAAGTGAGGAAGGGTGAAATAGAGGAACATCCATGTGAAAGAGACACATTGATTGGTTGCTTCCAACATGCCCCAGCTGGGGCTGGGGATGAACCTGCAACCCAGGTACTTGCCCTTGACAGGGAATTGAACCCTCAACCCTTGGGTCCATGGACTGATGCTCTAACCACTTAGCAACATGGGCCAGGGCCCAAGGGTTGTTTTGCTGTCCCCCTTTTTTAATAGCTTCTTTTTCTAATTAACTGGCTCCAATAAGCACTCACCAATCTACTAATATTAATGCAAATCTGGGGGAAGCTGTCTTCTCTCTGCAGTCTTAGATTTCTACTAGAGGCCCCGTGCACAAAATTCATGAACTCAGGGGTGGGGGGGATCCCTCAGTCTGGATTGCGAGAGGGTGCAGGCCAGGCCGAGGGACCCCACCAGTGCATGCTCGGGGCCGGGGAGGGACACAGGAGGTTGGCCAGCTGGGGAGGGGCCGTGGGAGGGCTCCAGGGCACGTCCAGCCTGTCTCACTCAGTCTTGATTGGCAGCAAGCTAACCTACCAGTCAGAACATCTGCCCCCTGGTGGTCAGTGCACATCATAGCAAGGGGTTGAGCGACCTTAACATATCATTAGCATACTATGCTTTGATTGGTGGTGGACACTTAGCATATTTGGCTTTTATTATATTGGAGAAGCTGATTTTCCCTTTTGCTCATTTTGACCTCCCTCTTTTATAATAAAGGTTTTCTCAGGGATCAGGCTTGGGTGTCCGCCCGCCTGAGAGCAGCGAGGCTGAGCAGCCGACCGGAAGCTGGGAGTGCTGGTGGGCTTTCTGTCTGTCTTGTAGCTGCTCTGCTGGGCTAGTGCCTGGAGCCCAGGATGGCAGTGCCTCTGGGTCTTTCCCCCTGAGCAGGTCGCTCCCTGCTGCGTACTCAGCCTCCTCCTGAGGGAAACGGCACGGCAGGTGCCTGCAGCCGAGGAGAAAGTGGCTGGGAGGGCCTCTGCACTCAAAATGGATATGTTACTCAGTCCACCTCGATCCCTCCGTCCCTCCCAGCAGCCCCGTGTGACCATGCAGGGTGGTCCCAGGACAGAGATCAGCCCCAGACAGTAAAGGCATCCGTAGCCACCGCCACCGTTCAGTGCACACTGCCATCACCTCTGACCTGGAATCCTGACACAACCACTTACCTCTTGTCCCCTCCTGTCCCTTCTGTCCCCACGAAGGAGTGAGGTAGCTCTTTCATGTCCCTCTTTACCTCTGAAGCCTCTCCTAAGTAGCCTCCCCCACCCCCTGCACCTCTGTGGGGCCACCCCCCTCTGTCAGTCCTGGTGCCTCACCTGGCCTCTCTGTGAAAACACAGCCCCCAGCCCCCTCCTCCTGAGAGTCCTCCAGGCCAGGGCACCTGCCACACCACCGGAGACGGCCGGCTCTGCCTGGGCCTAGGTGAGGTCTGCACCTCCATGTGGGCACTGGTGCTCTGCGCGTGAGCCTGGCCCCTGTGCCGAGTGCCGAGCTGAACAGAGCCAGGAGGTCGTTGCTACTTGCCCCCCTGGAGTTCTGCTCTGGGAGCTGACTGCAGGGGAAGGGCCTGCTGAGCCCGTCAAGGCTGCCACCAGGCCAGCGAGCTCCGGCTCCGTCAGCAGAGAACACCGCTGCTCTTGGACCTGCAAGGCACACGGGAGGCTGCCTCCTGGGATTCAGGGTGCGGAGACGCCCCACACTACCCTGTCGGGCCTCAGTGTGGGCGGCCTTTCCCAGAGAAGGGACTGCTTGGCAGGCTGCCTTCCCTGTAACTACTTGAAAGCCTATTTCCGTAATGGCCATAATGGGGCCTGACTAGGGAGCCAGGGCCTTCCTGCGGCCAGGTCCCTGGCGAGGGAAGATGTGAGTGGTGATGTGGAGGCTCAGTCTGCAGCGTCCGCTGAGCACGTGCCAGGCACCGATCCTCATCTGCCCTTGGAGGAGGGGTTACAATCTCCATTGGGGAAATGGAAATGGCAGCTCTCTAAGTGCCTGTTCAAGGCCACACCAGGCAGCGTGAGTTCAAACTCAGGACTCCTCAGGCCCCTGGGCCCTGCTGCGCCCTGGCACCAGGAGAAAGTGAGTTCTCCCTGCCTCCGTGGGTCATTTTGCTGCATGACTTTTGAGGGCTGAGGCCTCTCTGTACTGGCCTTGGGGAGGCTCCCTAAGGTGGCGGGCCAGGTGCCCGGTGTGTGTGTGTGGGGGGGGGGGGCGGGGGGGGTTGGTTTCGGAGCTCTCACTAGGGGGCTGAGGGCTGAGCAGTGCCAAGCACTCCAGCTCGGTTAATGGACCCCACAGTCATGGCACTGGGGAGGCACTCAGCACTGGCGCTTCCTGTTGACCTTAGGAAGGGTGGTGGGTGCCCAGGCATGGCAGCAGCCCTCTCCTCTTGCTTGATTTTTCCAGTAACTGGTGCCCCTACCAGAAGTCCAGGCTGGTCACCTTCGTAGCTGCTTGCAAAACGGAGAAATTCCTCATTCACTCACAGCAGCCATGCCTGCAGGGAGCTTCGGACTGCCAGAGAGTCAAAGTCATGTGAGTGGGGCTGGGGGAGGCCACTGGCCCAGTTCCTGCGCGGCTCACCTGGAGTTGCTGAGGTGGCTGTCTCCCTCCAGGTACCGCATAGCCCACAAGCCGGTGTACCAGGTCAAACAGAAGGTGCTGGCCTCCGTGGTCTGGAGGTGCTGCCCGGGCTTTGCTGGCTCTGACTGCCAGCACCATGGTAGGGCTCCGTGTGTCCCCTCCCACCTCAACCTCTGACCCCGGAGGTCATGCAGCTCCTCTGACCACTTAGGGTCAATATCTGATGCCTCCTCCCTGCAGATCCCGCTGCGACCCCTGAGCCCGCAGATCCGGGTGACGACTTCCAGGAGCACTGGGCCGGGCCGGCTGACGTGGAACCTGGTATGCGGCTTCCCTGGCAGGTGCAGGAGGGGCAGGCAGACAGGAAGAGCTGTGTGCCAGGCTCTTTCTCCTCTGATAAGGCAGTGCCATCTCAGGAAAACTCGGCCCCCAGAACCAGCAGGCCCCTCTGAGGCTCTGCACCGCCCTACTCCATACCTCGGAGGCCAGGCCTGCTGGCTATGCACATCACCCCTGTTCTTGACACCCTTTCTAGGAAGGACAGCTTCGCCTGGCACCTCCCTTGCCCCTGCACTGCACAGGTCCCCGTGGCCTGGAAGAAACCTCCCCACACCCCGCCCCTCAGTCAGGGACAAGAAGTCATGCTGTCCCTGTTCTCGAGTCAGCGTAGGAGAACCATCAAGAGACCCCATGGTTGGGCCTTTCAAGGCTGGACCAAGGTTGGGGTGGCGAATGCGTTTCATCATGTGGCGAACGCCTATCTATTGACAAGGGCTTCTAGCATAGTGTCGAGAGGCCATGCCCACGTGGCCGAGGAGGAAAATGTACCAAGACTGATCAGGCATGCCTGCTGTGGGTGTGGATGGCAGGGTGAAGGCTCACTTACCATGTGTTTGCTCTTCTGGGACTAAAGCAGGGGTCCTCAAACTTTTTAAACAGGGGGCCAGCTCACTGTCCCTCAGACCGTTGGAGGGCCGGACTATAGTTTAAAAAAAAACTATGAACAAATTCCTATGCACACTGCACATATCTTATTTTGAAGTAAAAAAAACAAAAAACAGGAACAAATACAGTATTTGTATCTGCATGTGGCCCGCGGGCCGGAGTCTGAGGACCCCTGGCCTAAAGGCTTCTAAGCGGCTGCTCAGAGGCCATCAGCATACTCCTCTCTGTTCTCAACCCCGAAGTCTCGGTGCCCTATGGTCTGCCCGGGCAGTCAGCCCTCAGTGCGTCTTTCTCACGTGTCCTCCAACCACCAGCTGCAGAGACCAGCAACATCAGGGTGCGGCAGGAACGCCTGCTGAGAGGTCTCCAGAATGACATCCACCACCCGGCAGACAGCCTCCCAGGCCCGGGGACGGCCCCGGCAAGCAACCTCACAGCCGCAGTGACTGAGGCACATGAGGAGTCGCTTGGTAAGAGGCAGGCTCCAGGCTGAGGAGGACCTGATTACACCCCAGGGGATGAGTGGGCAGGGAGCAGAGGACCTCCTTTCAGCCCCTGCCTGGGGTGGGGTCTGCTCAACAGGTTGGTGTGAACATGTCTGTCTGTTGCAGAGTTTCCCGGCAAGTCCTTGGAGCAGGTGCTGCCTTTCAGCCCCGTTTGGAGCGGCTTTAACCAGAGCCTGCACAGCCTCTTGGAGGCCGTCAGAAACCTCTCTCTTGATGTGGAGGCCAACCGACAGGCCATCGGCATGGTCCGGGACAGCGCTGTGCCCAGGGCTGACTTCCAGGAGCTTGGAGCCAAGTTCGAGACCAAGGTCCAGGAGAACAGCCAGAGAGTGGGCCAGCTGCAGCAGGACGTGGAGGACCGCCTGCACGCCCAGCAGCTCTCCCTGCAGCATTCGCTTTCCGAGGTCCAGGTGGACGTGGACACCAAGTTGAAGAGGCTCCTTAAGGCCCAGGAGCACCTGTCCAATAGCAGCCTGGCGGCAGCCGCGGCTGGAGCAGGAGCCCGGCCTGAGCCGGAGAGCCTGCAGGCCCGGCTGAGCCAGCTGCAGAGGAACCTCTCGGCGCTGCACCTGGACACCAGCCACAGGGAAGAGGCGCTGCAGGGCACCCTGGCGGACATGCAGGCGACCCTCGACCGGCACGTGGAAGAGATCAAGGAGTTGTATTCCGAATCGGACGAGACCTTCGATCAGATCAGCGCGGTGGAGCAGCAGGTGGAGAAGCTGCAGGGAACCCAGCAGGAGCTGCGGGAGCTGCGCGTGGCCCTGATGGAGAAGTCGCTCATCGTGGAGGAGAACAAGGTGGACACGGACCGGCAGCTCCTGGAGCTCAACCTCACCCTCCAGCACCTGCAGGGCGGCCTCGCCGACCTCATCAAGTACGTCACCGACTGCAACTGCCAGAAGCCCCCCGTGGGCCCGGACGGTACCCAGGAGGGCCCGGGGAACACCATGCGCGACCCGGAGGGCGCCCACGGGAGCCTGGACCTGCGGCGCCCGGGGGATGGCTCCTCTCTGCGGGCCCTGGAGCACGCCGTGGCGGCCGTGTCGCGGGGGCTGGAGGAACAGCGGGTGGAGGCCCAGCAGGCGGGCGCCGACCGGGCGAGGCTCCGGACGCAGCTGCGGGCGCTGAGCGGCCAGGCGGCCACGCTGCAGGCCGCGGAGGGCGAGCTGCGCCGGGCGGCGGGCGAGCTGCGCGCCTCCTTCGCGGCGCTGCTGGCGGACGCGCTGCGGCACGAGGCCCTGCTGGCCGCGCTCTTCGGGGAGGACGTGGTGGCCGAGGAGGCGCTGGGCCCGCTGGCCCTGAGCTACGAGCAGATCCGCGTCGGCCTGCAGGACGCGGCCCTGGGGCTGCACGAGCAGGCGCGCGGCTGGGCCGGGCTGGCCGCCAGGGTGACGGCCCTGGAGCAGGCGGGGGCGGCCGGGGGCGAGGTGGCGGGGCCGGCCCGGGAGCTGCAGCGGCTGGGCGCCGACGTGCAGCGGCTGGGCCAGTGCTGCGCGGCCGGGGCCTCGGGCGCCGCCGCCCTCAACAGCTCCCTGCAGGGCCTGCACGGGGCCATCTCCGCCGCCCAGCTCGGCCTGCAGCGGCACCAGCAGCTCTTCCACAGCCTCTTTGCGAACTTCCAAGGGCTCGTGGCAGCCAACGTCAGCCTAGACCTGGGGAAGCTGCAGGCCATGCTGGGCAGGAAAGAGAGGAAGGAGCAGAAGGCCCTCGACGCTTCCCGGAGGAGGGACAAGAAGCAAGTGAGACCTTTGGCCGATGCCGACGTCCACGGGCCGGTGCCACGAGCCCTGGGAGCCGAGCCTCAGGAGGCAGGTGAGTCCTGGGCCCGGGTTGTCGCCAGGCTGCTCCCGCAGAGGCTCCAGGGAGACGCGGGTGGGGGGCGTGGCTGCCCGCAGCTTTGCCCGCGGCCCGCCTTCTGGTCAGGGAGGGTCATCTGAAGCTGCCTGAGGCCTAAGGAGGGACGGGTCACCAGAGCCAGCCCTCGGTGGGCGGCAGAGCCCCTCCATTTGAGGGGCGCACGCCTGGCGGCCTCTGTCCATAGCGCAAGGAGGGGTCCTTTCCTCGCGGCCACACCTCAAATGCCTCCTCCCAGCTCTTCAGGCCGCTGCACCCGCCACGCGTCTTCATCCAGGGCGTGGGTGGGGCTGGTGTCACTGGCCGTGGCGCACCCCACTAGGGAAGGCCTGGACCGTGAAAGGCGCTCCTTCTGCTAACAGTTGGCCCACCTTCCTGCCCGTGCGCGCCCCCGGCAGTGCCCTTCCGGGCTTGTCGCACGGAATCATCACAGCAGCTCAGCGATGCGTTATCACCGCCATCTTACCTGAAGCTGAGGCTCCCCGCCGGTGAAGGCAGAGGAGCCTGAACCGAGCGCTGCTCGCTGAGCCCTCGCCCTTGCCTGGGGGGCAGGTCCCTGCAGGGCCCTGGACACCGGGCCTGGGAACCGGGTTCTGAGGCGGAAGCTATGTGCAGCCGCCCCCCATGCTCTCCTTAGTGTGGCCCTGGGCAGGGGACCAGGCTCTGGGCTTCAAGTGACCGCCCCCTGCCAGAGGCTGGCCTTGGGGCTCTGGCTACCCCCGCGCCCAGACATGGGCTAGATCAAAGGCCACCCTCCGGGCGGCCTGAACCCTGCTGTAGCCTGGCATGTGGGATGCCGAGGCCTGGCTGAAGGTCCCACCCCAAGCCGGCTCCCTCCATTGTGGCCCCAGAGACCTGTGTCTCCCCGGTGGCGGTGACAGGGCACAGGCTCTAGCACCATTTGTCTCGGTTTCTTCATCTGTAAAATGGGAGAATCATATCAAAGGCTGTTGTGAAGACAAACAGACCCATTTCCCAAATAGCACGAGGCTTACCATTTAGTAGAGCCAGCAGGGCCTTCCTGTCTCCCAGCATTTTCAGGGCTGAACTGTGCCCACCTGCACTAACGCTTCCATCTTGAGTCCACGTGTGAGTGGTGCCTGGCCTCAGCTGCCTGATGGTTTAGGAGTCTGAGTTTACCACTACAATATTTTGTTTAAAAAAGTTCCCTTAAAATTAAAAAGAAAATTTCTCTTATTTGAGTTGCAGGAAGGCCATAGGGCTAGAGTTTGCACCTACAGGGAAGCCCACTCTCAGGCCGCCTGCTCGCCAACCAGGAAGCGCCCTTCCTCCCTCTGAGGGCATGTGGGCACCCTGGCTGCTGGAGGCTCCCGCGGCAGCCCCGCCCCAGCTGGTGGGACCCGGTGCAGGAGGGCCAAGCACCGGCAGAGGGCTCCCAGGCCCGCCGTCTCTAGGCGGACGGGCGCCCCACCTCCTGGGAACTGGGAGAACTGCAGGGCAGAGCGGGTCTGAGGTGACACAGTCTTACACAAATGGAAACGCTAGTCTGAGCTTTAAATCTCAGGAATCTTCCAGAACTAGAGAAGAGCCACGTTCTGTCATTCACAGGCTGTGGCTGGACCAAAGTCAAGAGCTGGTTCTGAATCCTAAGTAAATAACTGCACACTTGTTCCTTTAGGCCTTGGTTTCATGCCCTGAGAAGTGGGGGCAGGGGTGGGGGTGGGACGTGCACACGTGTTGAGGGAGCATGACCGCATCAGTACCAGGGCCGGCGCCATGCTGGACCCCAGGGGACTCACCCTCCCGCCCTGTGGAGCGTCTTGGCCAGGCAGCCAGCTGGTTCTTCCCCGGCACCTTCCCCCCTGCAGAGGGCTCCCTCTGCCCCCTGCCTGCCAGCTCTGTGGCACTCACCCTGCTGAGGCCGGTCATGCTTCCTTCTTCAAGTGCAAGAACTCCGGAGACCAGGAGCTGCAGGACGGCTCCCAGCCCTGGACCGAGTCCTCTGGAGCACACGCGTCTCCCACCTGTGAGCAGGGCCCTGCCAGCCTTTTGAAAACATTCAGATGACCGGCCTGAGTAGGCGGTTCATCCCTGGCCCCGCCTGCTCCTTCCTTCTCTCCCCAAGGTCCTGGTAGCAAGCACTCACTGCCCCGGAGTCAGCACACCAGTGAGTCTGCCTCCCTGAGGAGCGGGTCTCTCTCCCTGAGGGTCACTCGGCCTTGGTAGGTGGCGGCTGGTGGGAGTCCGAGCCTGGGCTGCCGCCCTCGCCTGCCACTGACAAGCACTCCAGACTCAGTTTTCTCAGTCAGAGGCACTACGACTCAAGGATGTGGGAAGGGAGAAGGGATCGAACACGAAAGTGCTCTGTACAGAGTTACGCCTGTAGAGACAACAGCCTCTTTCAACTAGTGAAACCCTAAGAGTCGCCCGCTAACCCCACTCTGAGACACTCCTGGGACGTTAGGTGCGGTAGCGGGAGTGGCCTGTCTACATCATTACTAGGCTGAGGAAGGCAGGTCTCGGAGTTTAATGTCCCATCCAAGGGAGTGAGTCACTGAGCACTGTCCTCCTGCCCCCAGGCTCCCCCGTGGCCTTCTATGCCGGCTTTTCAGGAGGGATGGCTGCCCCGCAGACAGTGAAGTTCGACACTGCTCACATCAACGTTGGCAACAGCTACTTCGCTGAAGATGGCTACTTCCGAGCCCCTGAGCGCGGGGTCTACCTCTTTGCAGTGAGCATTGAATTTGGCCCAGGGCCAGGCGCTGGGCAGCTGGTATGTGGAGGTCACCATCGGACCCCCATCGGTGCCGCTGAGGAGCAGCGGGGTGGAGGCGCGGCCACGGCCTTCGCTCTGGCCGAGCTGCAGAAGGGCGAGCGCGTGTGGGTGGAGGTGACCCAGGGCTCCGTGCGGCAGGGAAGCCCGCCTGGCACCGCCTTCGGGGGCTTCCTGCTGTTCAGGACCTGAGCCCGGGCACAGCCGACCCTGCGCCGGGACGTGCCCAGCTCTCCTTGCCCTGGGCTCTGACCAGGTGGCCGGGAGACCATCCAGGTTGGTCTAGCTCTTCCCTGGAAACCCGCAAAGACAATGGCCTCCCTCTGGAAGCTGCTCCTGGGCCGGCCCGGGCTGGGCGGGAAGCTGGGCCTGGTGGGCCTCCGTCCGAGGCAGCGAGGCTCGACTCCAGCTCTTGGCCGCTCGTCTTCTCCAGTGTCTGCTGTTTTGCTCCTTGTGGTTGAAAACCTCTGTACAACACTAACCTTTCTCCGGCTTCCTCATGTTTCTAGTCCCTGCTAGAAAAGCATTCTTTCCCAGAGAGAATTTGGGAACTAGAATAGAGGTGGCATTTTGGACAATCCGGGAAACCAGGCTCCAGTCACTGCCGGCAGGAGAAGACCAGCCGGTGAGGTCTGTCAGTCAGAAATGAAAACTGGCTGAGTATTAGGCGAAGGAAACACAATTAGTATCTTTTCCGTAGTCTCAGTCCTTCCTCGAATGTACCTGTAACTTTAACTTCACCCCCTTTTCTCCTGCCGCACATGGACAAAGGCCACGTGCGAACTGCGAGCTAACATGTGTGCAGCTTTCACCCTTTCATGCGCTCCCACGCCTGACCACCCTCATTCTGATTAGCATCTCTATCAGGAAGGGAGCTGAGGGATGAGGAGGGAAGACGACTAAAAGTCTCCCTCAATTTCATCATCTTTGGAATCAAGCAGCAAGCTCTGCCCGGTGGGAAGGATGTGGCGGGTGGAAATGTGGGGCAAAATAAAACGGTTTGCGGTAAGTGTGACTCCCATTACTCTAGGACACACCTTACTCCAGGTTCAGTTAATTCTGCCTAATACACATAGAGGCCTTCACAGTGAGCACTGACATTATTGGATCAGACAGTCCAGCAGAGTTAGTTATTCTTGGTTTTTAAAAAATTGCATATTCTAGAGCAGCGGTTCTCAACCTGTGGGTCACGACCCCTTTGGGGGTCGAACGACCCTTTCACAGGGGTCGCCTAAGACCATCGGAAAACACATATATAATTACATATTGTTTTTGTGATTAATCACTATCCTTTATGTTCAATTTGTAACAATAAAAATACATCCTGCATATCAGATATTTACATTACGATTCATAACAGTAGCAAAATTACAGTTATGAAGTAGCAACGAAAATAATGTTATGGTTGGGGGTCACCACAACATGAGGAACTGTATTAAAGGGTCACGGCATTAGGAAGGTTGAGAACCACTGTTCTAGAGCAAACAGGCTTGAGAAAGCAGTCGTCTAATTGTCGGGAAATGTTTCGTTTTGGTAGGTGTTTAGTGTTGGTTGGCTATATTCTTCTCCGTAAGGAAATCAACCGGGCTGGGGAATGAGGACGGAGAGGGGCTGGTGTCCAGGTTCCCTAGGTCCCAGCCCGTGCTTTCTAGGGCCATCACTCCAGACTCCCTCCGAGTGTATTTACCCGAGGTGGGCGTGCCCACGTGTAAGCCATCAGTGCTAAGGGGAGCCGTGTGCAGGCCACTCTGCCACTGATGGTTTGATGTGAGCCAAAGCACAATCTTTCTTGAACTTTATCCATCCGTAGTATGAGCTGGTCAGCCTACTGGATCTGGCTCAGCCCTCGCTGCCTGCTCTTCCCTCTGGCCAGGGCCTCGCATCCAGTGCAGTCTTTGTTGCCAAGACCACTCCTGACCAAAGGCTGGTGTACGGGCCACGCCTGACAGACGGGAGGCAGTGCCAGGGCACCCTGGCTGCTGGGAGACCAGCGGGCCTTCTCGCCGCTCACTGTTGCTATCGGTCAAGCTGTGCCAACGAGTAAGTGGAACTGTATTGTGCTGAGTAACAGGGAGGGAGTTGATATCCTCCATAAAGGGCACGTGTCCTCCAGAGCAAGGTTACAAATAGGAGTGCTACCTGGCAAGCATTGCCCACAGCTTGGATGAGTCACCCGGCAAGTTTCTGGGGAAGCTAGAGAAACGATGGGTCTTTTAGGTGGGATGCTTCCCATGCAAATCTCACCCAGCCTCACATCACACTGAGTGCCCATCTTCTGTTTTAACATTCGTAGAAGCAGGACTCCAGCTCAGCACGGACTCTAAAGTTTACTTGATAGACTGCTCGTCTGCGCTAGGGATCCAAGTCTCTGGGTGGAGACTCTCAGAGCCTTCAGGTAGACCTGCTACCCAGGTCAGCGTTCAAACAGCCTCCCTCGCAGCATCCTGAGCAACAGCTCACTGAGCCCAGTGCCCAGTGGTATCAGACCTCCCCAACCTGCCGGAAAAAATTCAAAAATACCACTGAGAAGCAAGAAAAGAGTAAGCAGACCGGGAAATCGTAGTAATCCCCAAAACAACAGGAAGGAGAAAGGATCAAGTATAAAATGAAGTAGCAATAAGAAATCATAACCCCAAGCATGTGAGACTGTTGGAGAAATGGGAGTGATTTCGACAGAGTTGCAACTCAAACTCAGCCGCCATCCCTGCCTGTGCTGAGCAGGGCGGCAGTGGCCTGTGAGGTCAATGCTGAGCCCCACACCCTCCAGAGGGTCAGTGGGCAGGAAGCCCCCGCCCTGGTGACCTGAGACCGTAGGGAGTCAATCAGACATCTCCATGTCCACAACATGTCCAAATAAGGCCCGACATTTACTTTTATTTCACAAACACCACGCAGGGGATAGAATGGTCTAGAAACATTGTTTCTTAAAGCTCTCCTCCCCTCCGGGATGCTCCTCTGTAGTCCCCTGTAGTCCATGTTGAAACACCCCTGCGCACCATCCCCCGCCCTCTTCTATCAAGAAGCTCCCCCAAACCTGGTTTGACAAAGACAACCCTCTTGGGGGAGCGGGGAGTGCGGAAGTAAAGGGAGTGGGGCAGCCTGGTGCGCTCGAGTAGGCAAAGAGGAGGAAAGGGTTGCTGATATTTGCTCCAACAAACAGTGATTATCCTACTCCTCCCTGAAAAAATAACGAGTCCAAGGAATGTGGAACCAAGGTGAGCAGGGACCCACTAACTCTGTGAGCGATAGCCCCAGAGTGCCAAGCAAACACCTGTGGAAAATTAGGATCAGGAACAAGGCCCAAAACTCACCAAACTGAAGTTTTTGGAACATGTAAATCTTTAGAAACAAGAGAGAAAATTGTAAAGATAAATCTTATTTACAACCCAGATTCTGGTCTCCAAATATCTCCCTTAAAGGGAACCCGAATGCCTTAGACAGGGGGCTGACTGGAGCAAGAAAAATAGCAGCTGAGCCTGAAACATCATCATGTGCCAAAAAGGCCGGCGTGGCTCAGTGGGTGAGTGTCACCCATGAACCAGGAGGTTACAGTTTAACTCCGGTCAGGGCACATGCCCAAGTTTCGGGCTCGATCCCCAGTAAGGGACATGCAGGAGGCAGCCCATTGATGTTTCTCTCTCATCAATGTTTCTAACTCTATTCCTCTCACTTCCTCTTTGAAATCAGTAAAAACAAAAAATAATGGACACATGTCAAAGAGCTCAGGAGCCAGTGTGATGAACTCCCAATGGCGAAGTCTGGGTCAATTTGAACATCAAAGCCAATAATGACCTAGCAACTCTATATGACCCATGGATAGAATAAAAACTCACGAGTCCCATGCTGGTGGGATGCCCTCAGAAGCACACAAACGTCATGTCCACCCCTCATGGGCCTTTACTCCAGAGAATGTCAGTATCACAAAAGCCAAGAGCTGGACAACTGGTTCAGATTGAAGGGGAGTAAGGAGATATGACAACTAAATGCAAGATCCTAGTCAGACGGTGGGACTGGAAAATGTGCGCTCATGGCTTTTATGAAAACACCTGGCAAAACTTGAGTAGGTCGGCAGATTAGGGCATTACAGGTAAGTGTCATGGTATCGGTTAACTTTCCTGCTTTTGATAATGGGTTGTACAATAGAATACCCTGAAGTACTTAGGGATAGCGGCATGAGCTCTGCAATGTACTCCAAGTAGCTGAGACAAAAGCATGTGGCCACAAACTCCAGGAGCCTTTGTACTTCCTATACACAGATATACAAAATGAGCAGTTGTCGCACAAATGTAAGTTTATGAATCTGGGTGAAGGGTAAATGGCATTTTTTAAACTACTTTCCAACTTCTCTGGAAGTTTGAAATTATTTCAAAATAGTTAAAATAAAATTCGATTGTTTAAAAAATACACACACCTCAGTAGATGGGTGAACAGCAGGTAGGATATAACATAAGAGGGACATGCTAGGAAATTTGGAAGAAATATCCGGGAGACCTAGTATTGGTCTAATGGTAGTTCCAGAAGGAGGAAATTAAAAGGAGGGAGGAAATAAACAATGGAAGATAAGTTTCCAGATCCAAGAAAAGGTGAAAAAGAACCTAATTAGTACTAGCAGAATGGAAATATGTAGACATGCAAGTTTAAATTTCAAAAAGGAAAATTCTGCTTCGTGAATGAGAAACTAAGTTACACACCAAACACATCCATTCTCACTGGCCATGCGGTGCTGGGAGATCGTGGGGCAGTGCCCTCAGCATTGGATTCTAGCTCCAGCCAAAACGCTAGCCCTGGAGGACCGCATCGAATGATAAAAACTGCTTTTTAAGTGTTTGAAGTGCCTCCCACAAGTGTACCACAGCCTTTCAATTCTTTCTATAATGTTTCAGTGTAGTGAACAGAGAAATGAGAACAGATGGCTTCAACTGATTCAAAATTGGTTTTATAAAATGGCTTCCCCCTAAAAATCCAAAAATCTAGTTTGAAAATACTTTCAATGTCAGCATTTTATATTGACTTTAAAATATATATTTTTATTGATTTCAGAGAGGAAGGAAGAGGGAGAGAAACACCAATGATGAGAATCACTGTAATCAGCTGCCTCCTGCACGCCCCCCACTGGGGATTGAGCCTGCAACCCGAGCATGTGCCCTTGACCGGGACTGAACCCAGGACTCTTCAGTCTGCAGGCTGACGCTCTATTCACTGAGCCAAACCAACTAGGGCTTGACTTTGAAATATTACTAACATTTCAGGTTCCCTGTATGCAGTTTAGGATCTGGGTGGTGAGGTGGCTGTGGGGAGCCCTGGGGCATCTGGTGGCCCTGAACGTCCCTTCAAGGGTGCATGGGACACTCAATCAGAGTGATCGGACAAAGATCAGTAAGAGAAGGTTCAAAGGAGGGGTAGGTAGGTCACACATATTCCATCTAAACATGAGAATGACAGTTCCTACCTGAAAGGATTCACCTTTCTGCCCTGCTCTCTGCTTCCACTGAGATACTGTGCACAGCCCTGTCTGTGCACTTGAGTAAGTTTCCTCGCCCTGACTCCCAGCCTCAGGGCAACTTGCCCGTTTCTGCTCACACCCTGAGCTCCCGGGATTGAAGTCCTCATGATCAGAACAGTGCCCTGCCATTGGGTGGCCTCTGGGCTGTGCTCCCAGAGCCATGTGCAGAGTCCACACCTCTCCCAGTGCCAGGAGGCAGTCACAGGACCTGGGACCAGCCACACTCAGCTGGAGGGAAGCAGCCAGATGGCGCTCTCCAGGGCCAGCAGGAGTGTCAATGAGAAATCCTCCAGGCACAATCTTTTAAAAGTTCTTATCTACTAGGCCCATTTTTAGAAAGGTAACCTAAGAAAATATACAAAGATTCCTGTTTAATGATGTTCAATGCATTGGTTGGTTATATTTTCTAAAACAATGGAAAGTAACCCAAATATTGAATGGAGAATTAAAAAAAATATTCCATCTATTTGATGGACTATTGCATGGTCACTTAAAAAAAAGTTATG